ACATCAGGACGCCCACGACGCCGCCCACAGAGGACAGGACGTGGAAGTCGACGAGGAAAGCCATCGAGAGATCGCTCAGAGATCAGTGATCTGATCGCACTCTCTACGAGTGAGGAGGACGAAGACTCTGATGACGGCGACCGGAAGGGCAAAGGCAGACCGCGCAAGGGTATACAGCAGCCCACACGACGCTCAACACGACAACCAATACGAACGAGGAACAATAACGACGATGACGACGAACAGGAGGAGGACGATACCGATGACTCCAGTGCCTCAGATATTCTCCGGTCAGACGTACTTCCTGGTCGCAAGCGCAAGAGACAGTCTCTACGTGCAGCAAAGCCTGAGAAGATCCCTCGAGCGGGCGTCCGACAGTCTGATCGAGCAACACGTGCTACCAACAACATGCAGGAGGCGGATATGAACGACATATACCGGTCAGACACCGCGCCCAAAGCCGTGGCTCAGAAGGTCTCTGTTGTCCGCGAAGTGTTCCCGAAGCTCCCACGGAGCGACCCTTTCCGTGCGCGACATGCAGAGGGTTGCGAAGTCTGCTTCGATGGACCCAACGTAGCACCTCTGGTGTACTGTCAAGGTTGCTCTCTAGCATACCACAAGAATTGCTTGGGTAATCGATCTACTCGCGATCATTTAGTCACCAAGGTTAGCGATGAGCAGTTTGTCCTGCAGTGTAAGAGGTGCATTGGCTTCTATAAGAAGAAGGACGCGACCGCTCCCGATTTATCCAGATGTCAAGACTGCGCTGTTTCTGGGGTTTCGTGCCGACCCTTCAGGCGCCGCAAGACTACACAGCAAGAGATGAAGGAGCGCGAAGAGAATGATGGCTATGATCCTGTCGTCGACGTTCCTTCTGAGCTTCTTAACGACCGTAACAATGTGTTGTTTCGCTGCACAAAGCGCTCTCGCGCCTGGCATTATCACCACCTACCACCTATCTCGCAGTATGCTATGGACGTCAATCGTGACGACGAAGAGATAGCAGATGAGCGATTCCGCGAGTACTCTGGTAAATGGATGTGCAAGGAGTGCGACGAGACCATTAATCAAAAGGTTGGCGGCATCATTGCCTGGCGGCCATCGGATGTCGAGACTTATCGACCAGGAACCCCATGTGAGTTGATTTGTGAAGACGACAAGCAGTATCTTATCAAATGGGAGAACGAGTCCTACTTCCGGGCGTCATGGCACTCCGGAGCCTGGACTTGGGGCGTGACAGCTGGAGTCCAACGCAAGGCTTTCTTTAAGCGTGAGGACGGACCAAAGATGCGAACTGAAGACGCCATTCCCGAAGAGTACCTTCGCATCGACATTGTCCTTGACATCAAGTACACAAGCTATGTTGAGGTTCGCAGCGAGGAGATCGACAAAGCCCGTATAAAAGAAGTTGATAAGGCGCTTATCAAGTACAAGGGTTTGGGCTATGAGGACACTGTCTGGGAGAGTGTGCCTACTCCAGAAGACGGTGATAGGTGGCTAGACTTTGTCACTGCTTACAACGACTGGGTTGCCGGTCGCTACGTCAAGATCCCCAAGCAGGGTCCCCTCAAAGGACGGATTGAGAAAGCTCGAAGCACACCATTCGCTAAGCTTGAGCGAGAGAAACAACCTGATAATCTAGTTGGTGGTGAGCTGATGAAATACCAGCTGGACGGTCTGAACTGGCTCTACTACAAATGGTACGATCAGAAGAACGCCATCCTTGCAGACGAGATGGGCCTGGGAAAGACGATCCAAGTCATCGCCTTCATGGCAACCCTTATCCAGGAGCATAACTGCTTCCCGTTCTTGATTGTAGTGCCCAACTCGACATGTGCCAACTGGCGCCGGGAGATCAAGCAATGGGCACCTTCTCTTCGCGTAGTCGCCTACTTTGGATCTGCCAAAGCTCGCGAGATGGCTTACAAGTACGAGATGTACCCCGAGAATACAAAGGACCTACGATGCCACATTGTTGTAACTTCATACGAAGCGGCGGCCGACGATAACTGCAGGAGATTTTTTAGAGGTGTCAGCTGGGCCGGTCTCGTCATCGATGAAGGCCAGCGTCTGAAGAACGACAAGAGTCAGTTGTACACAGCCCTCACAGCAGTACGCGCGCCATTCCGACTGCTGTTGACTGGCACGCCACTACAAAACAATGCTAGAGAGCTCTTCAACTTGCTGCACTTCCTGGACGACACTATCAATGCCGAGCAACTTGAGGAACAGTACGCTGAGATGACAGCGGAAAACATTCGGGAACTTCATGATCAGATCCGACCTTTCATCCTGCGACGTACGAAGGCCAAGGTGCTGACCTTCCTTCCGCCTCTGGGTCAGATCATTCTTCCAATCTCCATGAGCCACTTGCAGAAGCAAGTCTACAAATCAATTTTATCGAAGAGCCCAGAGCTTCTCAAGGCTCTTTTCACCTCCGATAAGCAGTTGAAACAGCAGGAGCGTGCAAACTTGAGTAACATCCTCATGCAACTGCGCAAGTGTCTGTGCCATCCGTTCGTCTACAGTCGGGAAATTGAAGAGAGGAGCGACGTTGCTGCCGTCTCTCATCGCAACCTTGTCGAAGCTTCTGCCAAGCTCACTCTTCTTGAGACTCTTCTCCCAAAGCTTCAAGAACGTGGTCATCGCGTGCTCATATTCAGCCAGTTTCTCGACATGCTTAACATCATCGAAGACTTCTTGGACGGCATGCAGCTCCCGTATCAGCGTCTAGACGGCACGATGGGCTCGCTTGAGAAGCAGAAGCGTATTGACCAGTTCAACGCGCCCGACTCGTCGCTATTCGCCTTCCTCCTCTCCACCCGCGCTGGTGGTGTTGGTATCAATCTAGCAACTGCCGACACTGTCATCATCCTAGATCCTGACTGGAACCCTCATCAAGATCTCCAAGCTATTGCTAGGGCTCATCGAATCGGTCAGAAGAAGAAGGTGCTGTGTCTTCAGTTAGCAACTCGAGCATCTGTAGAGGAGAAGATCATGCAGATGGGCAAGAAGAAGATGGCTCTTGACAAAGTTGTTGTACAGGATCTGGACAAGGAAGATCCGGAGGATGAGGATGTTGAGTCCATACTCAAATATGGCGCGGCAGAACTCTTCAAGGATGATGACGCAGATAACGACATTCGATATGACGATGCCTCTATCGACAAACTACTCGACCGTAGCCAGATCGAAAACACCCAAACTGGTGACGATGACTCTGCAGAATCTCAATTTGGCTTCGCCCGTATATGGGTTAATGAGAAGGGCGGCTTGCAAGATGACTTCGATATCGCGGATGAAGAGGTGGCTCCAGATCCAGGTGTCTGGGATAAGATCTTAAAGGAACGACAAGCTGCCGCGGCCGCCGAAGCACTTGCAAAGGCAGAGGCTATGGGTCGGGGACGCCGGACCAAAGCAGTACGTAATACCTCAATCTTGATAAGAACACCTACTGACATCACACAGGCTGTCGATTATGCTACGGAGAAGAGAGATGCTGATGCTGCGTCTGTCGCGGGTACAGATCACTTCGAGGATACTGCCGCACCGCCTTCGCCGATCAAGAAGCCGAGCAGAAAGCGCAAGAACAAGACTGGATCTGAGAGCGATACCGACTTCCAAGCCGAGTCTGAAGATGAAAGCGAGCCCGAGCCAACTTATGACAATGTTGACGCTGCCAAAGAGCTCGGTAGCGGTCACCGTCCCAATACAACAAGTATCGCCAATTCTTCACCCTACAAGCAGAATGGCGCAGGTGCGTCTAAAGTTTCATCTACTCAACAGTCACAATTTCCCGCTGTCACTTTATCTCTCCAGAACACGCCCAAGAAGGGTGGCGCAAGGGCCGTCAGATCGCCGCCGAAGCCATTGAAGGTGTCACCGCTGAAAGACCGTTCGAGAGTTGGACTCGACCTCGGGACGCATCTCAATGGCAACATTCAGACGCAGTCAAACACTTTCTCAGGGCAGGCATCGTCGGCTCGCGGACCATCTGCGTTCATCGATCTTTCATCGCCTCCACCAGAGCCAGCACCAGCACCAGCACCAAAAGCACCAAAAACTAATCAAGCAACAGTCAAACCATTTGCACGCGCTATCATACCCATCCGCAACCCTCTCGAGCCGACATATGGCCCTCCTGGTATTCACATCTGCCCGGCCTGCCATAAAAACCATCCTTCGGGGGCTTGCGAGCTCAAAGCAGCAGGTGTTGAGCACTGCGGTCTCTGCGGCTTAGCACACTACGGCCACTCACGCACATGTCCCCACATCAGATCCGAAACACAAGTCCGAGAGATGCTTGAAGCGCTCAAGAACTCGCCCGAGAAGAAGGAACTGGTTGATGCAGCGATCAAATATCTTCGTGGTGTCAAAGGTACACTGGTACAGCAAAAGAAGAGGGATAGGGAGAAGGCGGCTTTGGCTAAGGGCCAGCCCGTTCCCCCACCTACATACGCAGGCATTGGCCGGCCACCGAAGAATGCGTATTCACGTCCGCATGGTGCTCTGAACGGAAGTATGAATGGTATGAATGGTGCTGGAGGTAGCAGTCCGGCTGTGGGTTCTTCGAACGATGCACCTCGCTTGTACACGCCTTACGGTCCACCAGGACAGATGGAATTTGCGCCAGGTAGTGTTGGTAGTGCTCTTCAGGGTCAGCAGCGCACGATTGCGCAGCAGCAGATGATCCAGCAGATGCAGGGTCAGGGGTTTGATGATCAGCAGGTGGAGAGCGCGTTGACGGGCTTTTTGTTCCAGGGTCAGAGTTGAGTACGCAGTGAGTCGTTGGGATAAGGTGGATTTCCGGTAGTCATTGGTAACTTCTGGTGGGAGGACATGGTGAAGGACAGGAGACGACATTTTTAAAGCATGTGTAGTAGGAATTTCGATACCCATAATGACCACTACAAAATCGTCGATATATTGAATCCATGTGGTAAACTAAAGGTATTCGCTACACTCTATTGGAATATTCACTGAGATAAAGGTATATACCTTCAAGGCGCATACTCAGCTTCTTCCGTTTCCTCGTATTCCTCTCCTTCTACTTCTTCATCGTCTTCCTCAAGCGCCTCCCTGAGACTCTCCACCCAAGCATCATAGTCTTCGTTCGTCTCGTGACCAGCACCCAGCACCCTCCCGTTGGCTTTTCCTTGATCTTCTTTCGCCATAAGTGCTCTCTCAAGCACACCAAATTTGGGCACACCAAACTCATTCTTACATCCAGCCCAAATGCCCTCGTCATCACGAACTAGTCCATTCCTCCAGCAGTAGGCCATCCACTGACGCCAATTTGCGTCCTGCTCCAATACTTCGGGGTTGCCAATTACGACCAAAGCTTCTTTTGCTCGCGTGAGAGCAACGTTCATCTTCCTCTTCTCTCCAATGATACCCACACCCATACTGTTATCCTTCGCCAAAAACCTCTTCCTCGTTCTCGTCGTACATAGTATCACGACGCGTTTTTCGAGGCCTTGGAACGCTTCCAAAGGGCCGATATTCACGTCCCATAGACCTGAACCATTGCCATACTTGGAAGACCGGATCAACGAACGCATTAGTCTGACCTGCGCGGCGAATGGCGACATGATACAGATATCCGGTTGCTTCACGGAAGAAGAGTATATCAAGGTTTGCGCAATATCGCAGGCTATGTTCGCTTCGGAGATGTTGTACCAGCCGCCGCCATCACGTTCAATCTCGTCAGTTCCATCATGCGGGACGAAGAGAACGGGCCACCTACGTCCGCGCCAGATGTCCGATTGCTGGAGTGGTGTGTTTGGTATCACGACCTCGGGAATCAACGTATTTTGGTAAAAGATAGCGCTTGGCACGCTGAGAATTGCAGGGTGGGAACGGTAGTTTCGGATCAGCAATGTGAAGGGTGGGTATGTGATGGGCAGCATCGATCGCTTCAGGACTGGTGGACCAGATGAAGGTTTTACCTTGGACCGTGAGAGGGGGTGATCATTATATAGTGGTCGCTTGAAAAGGCGGGCGAATAGCGACATGGTAACTCGGGTATCGCGGGATGCTGTTCGGGGGCCGAGTTGGTTCTCGTCTCCTGCCATCACGAAGCGTGGTTGAGGTGACTTTTCTGGATACGTGGAAGGTGGACATACAACGCTGATGGCTGGCAGAACGTCAAGTTCAGTAGCTTGAGCTGCCTCATCTATGAGCAAAGCTGTCCAGTGCAGCGGCGGGGTAGGCATTTCTTCCCTCGGATTGAACGCCGAGAACATAGCCTTCTGCATGGTCCAGAGATCGTTGTTGGTCATCCTTGCTTCTGCCAGGATTGAAGCATCTTGGCAAGAGGCTACCACGATGTCGAAAGCCATAAGGTCCTTGAAAGACGGTAAAGAAAACATGTCGTTTTCGATATGGCAGTATTGTAACAACTCCCGTGGTACTTCGTTATCAGCTCTTCCGGGTCGGTTGAGACGGAAAAGCTGCTTCCTTGAAAGGTAACTCTTCAGTCTCAAAGCGATTGTATCTGCGGCAGCCTCCGACGGAGCACATATGAGCAGGTGATTGACGTTTGAAGTCTCCAGCAGCTGCATCGCCGTCTCAACTAGTGTCTTCGTCTTGCCCGTGCCTGGTGGCCCGCTAATCAAATATGGAAGAACGCCATACGTGTTATTGCATATACCATTGACAGCATGGGCTTGCTCATAGTTGATGGCTCTATCGTACAGTTCGCGATGCGGAACTTTGCGCAATGTAGTTTGACGTACTCCATGTGATTCTTCAGGAAACAGCATTCGAAGACTCCAGTCATTATGATGATCACCAGATGTAGCCTCAGCAGTCTCTCTCTGGAGGGTGGCATACTTCGTGCCGGGCGATTCGCCGAAATGATTCTCCAGAGATCCAGAAGCATCTGTACGAAGGGCCAGGCTGATGTGCTTCAGCTCAGAGCTGAGATGCACCAAAGCTCTTCGCTGGCTTTTGATGATGTTGAACTTGAGCGGTATAACAACATTGGCGAACATGGGCATAGGCGGTATGCTAGGATCGGGAAAACCTAGGCCGTCTGCCTTGATGTAGACTGTTTCCTGTGCACGGTTGATACCAAACACTGCACCGTCGTGTTGTATGCCCGTCCAGGACTTGAAGCTGACTGAAGGGTTTCCCTTATACCAGTACTGGTCGTCATTTACATACACCGGCATGGGCATTATAGCTCCTGCTCCGTCAACATACAGTTGTCGTATCTGTAACACGTCGCCCATCTCGATATGTGGGCTGTCTTCCCTTATTCCAGGTACCGACAAGCTCCATAGGCCACCAGCTGAAGGCGATTGCCGGAGTGGAACACGATACATTGCGTACGTTTCATTCTGTCCTTCTTTCGCAGCACATTCGATGGCGGCCACTCTGCTAAAGTGCTGGAGATATATGAACTCATCGAGTGCAGTGGCCGGTCTCAAGGAATCGGCGGCTGATAGTCCCAATGACTGTTCAGCCTCCGTGTACGGTGTAGGTATGAAGCTTGTCCCGACGAAGCTGTGCACATACTGTTCAAAATCAATCTGATGCCGAGGAACTGTTGGAAAAATGGTCGCCGTCTCAGTGTTGATCGATCGTAGAGCTGGAGGAGCGAAAGGAGTCGCGTAAACATCATACTCCCATGAATTGTTAACAAAATCACTCTGGGAGGTATCACTTGTTCCGGAAGATCGTAGTATGGCATGTTTCCCTGTTTCAGAAGAGACTTGCGGTTCTGCTACTGTCGAAGTCGAGAACCCCGGGCTGACTGAACTCTTCGTCCTTGGGACAATGTTAGGTACAGCTACAAGTCTTGAGAGGTTATCCTTCACCGTATTACCATGATGAGATTGAGGCATGTTGAAACTTGGAGCCATGTGCAGCCGGAGTCGCGTTTGAGAGGTTTTTGTGGGATGGAGTCGCTGAGAGGTGCATACAAGTGCCCTCAAGCGGAAGGCTCAGATAAGTGATGATGCGTTAACACTTGCTATCGCAGTGAATGACTTGGGTGCAGCGTGGTGAGAATTCTGGCCTCCTCAGGGAAAACCGTAAGAAATGTATCAGTATTTGTGTCCAAAGGATGGATCCAATAGCTTTTAATATTGGGCGTTGTTGTGGAGAATGTCAAATGTTGTAAAGTCGTGTAACATTCGTAGCGATGGGCGCCTGCTTAGCGCCACGCCAAGGGCGGGCTCGCTCCCAAACGCGTCCGCGTTCTTCCCAACCACCCCCTGATCATGAAGTCATCCGATATCTCTGCAGGTCTACACACTGTCATCGTGTCGGCAGCTCAGCAAGCGCCTGCTCTGTTTCAGGTCCTCGACGAGATGTAGAGTATTGTGGTGGTGTGACTTGACGCGCTGTTCCAATCCTGACATGCTCCTTCCATCCAGCCGGGAACCCCAATGTACGATCCGCGAACAGTACGGCGCTCGAGGGGGCTGATGTTGACTCTTCGCTAGCAACTGCGGGTTAGTGGACTCTTTGACCCGTACGCTGTTCGATGTCGAGATCGCCCCATTCGCACTTCCCCGCAATACGTCATGATCCGAGGTTGTACAGCTGGACCTCAATTTGTCAGGTATGTAGTGTCTGTAGAACTTTAACATGGATACAGAGTGATACCAGCATCTTTCCTCAATCTTTCACACCTTTTCGCATACACGTCGTCAATTATGTCCAACCAACAGCTGGTCGAGAGCAAAGGCATCTTCCATGGCCTACCCGTGTATCCATCCTCGCTGAAGGGGCTCACAGCCATCATAACTGGAGCAAATGGTATTTCTGGAAACTATATGCTGCGTGTATTGGCGCAGGACCCAGAGAGATGGAGTAAGATCTACTGCTTGTCACGGCGGCCACCTACGATCGCGGATGGGCTGCCGAAGAATGCCGAGCATATCCCACTAGACTTTCTACAAGAGCCTGAAGAGATCGCAAAGGTATTGAAGGACAAGGGCGTTAAGGCTGACTACGTCTTTTTCTACTCGTATGTGCAAGTCAAGCCGAAAGAGGGCGGCGGCTTGTGGAGCGACGCAGAGGAGATGTGTAAGGTGAACAGTAAGTGCCAATCGATAAAAAGGCATAAAGATACAGGAATAACGTACTGCAGCTGCTCTACTCAAGAACTTCTGCGAAGCTCTTCCGATTGCCAATATCAAGCCGAAGCGCATCATGCTCCAGACCGGCGCGAAGAACTATGGTGTACATCTTGGCCCCGCAGCGACCCCTCAAGAAGAAACGGCACCACGTGTCACTTTAGAACCCAACTTCTACTACCCACAGGAAGACTTTCTCTGGGATTTCTGCAAGAAGCAGGGCATTGACTGGAACATATGCATGCCATCGGGGATTCTGGGCGCTGTCCCGGATGCAGCCATGAACATTGTCTTTCCACTAGGAGTATACGCAAGTGTGAAGAAACATCTAGGCGAGAAACTCGAGTTTCCGACTGATCTGCATGCATGGGAAGCAACAGCATGCATGTCCAGTAGCAAAATGAATGCTTACATGGAGCAATGGGCCGTGCTGAATGATGGGGCAAAGAACGAAAAGTTCAATACAATGGATGGCACAACCTTTACATGGGGAAATTTCTGGCCAAAGTACGCAGGGTGGTATGGTATTGGATATGAGTATCCCAGCCTAGACGACAGCGCGTATACCGTCATCACTTCACCATACGACCCGCCTCCAAGGGGTTTTGGGCCACCAGCAACATTTCGGATTCGCTTTACGCTGACTGATTGGGCAAAACAAGAGAAAGTGCAGAAGGCATGGGAGGAGATAATCTCTAAGCACGGTCTCAAGGTGGATAAGCTGCAAGATATGGACATTGATCGTATTTTCGGCTTTACCGACGGAATGATGAGCTTTTCCTTGGATCTCACCATGAACAAGGCGCGCAAAATGGGGTGGCATGGATTCGTCGACTCAAATGATGCCATCAAGGAGGTACTTGGAGAGTTTGCAGATCTCAAGATGATTCCTCCTGTGGGTAAGTAGTCTGCGAAATACAGCCTGACTATAGAATCTACCAATTTACGCTACTTTATCGCTTTGAGCTGTTTCTGTTTTCCTTGTTTCCCCAACGCGAACGCTCATAATCATTCTCTTGGATACTAGCGTAGTGATGATAGTGTCATCTGTACTACTAGTAGCTTCACTCGTTATTCTTACAGGAAGCTATGACTAGGGCCAGTGACGTAGCTCATGATGGTGTCGTGAGCAGAAGACATACCGACTTCCTCCCATGTCGATCCAACCGCGTCCGCTTCTCTGTACAGCCTTTCAATGACCCCGAGGATGTCGATCTCTAGCAGGGTCCTCTCACCCACCGGTCTCTCCATGATCGTCTTCATCAGAAGCTGTTTAATTACCCACCCTTGACCACAAGTCGCCTGACTAAGGATCGCCAATGCACCCAGGCAGTCTCGATCTAGAGCATTCACCTGCGCAATCTTCCAATTCTCATCTATGATCCGAGACGATAGCGAGGCGGAGTAGCGAGCTTCGGCCAGCCCCGAAACGACGTCCGCGTAAGGCAAAGTAAGACGGATGACGTTCCTGCGCTCGACAGCTTCTTCACGGCGGAACTTCCGGATGAGGTCGCGACGGTCTTCTCGGCCCATCATCTGTGAAGTCAATACGACGGCGGGAAATACCGAAAGAGGAACCTGTCAGTGACTGTCTCTACTGGTTTACGCACCTTGAAGGCTTCTTGACCCATGCTGCCTCCCAGATAGAGTACTGTCTCGTGATTGGTATCGGTAGCAAGGCGCTCATCCCTACTGAGGCGTATCATGATAACCTCACCATTACGAATGTTACTGAAGTTGCAAACTGGGTCACCTTCGATCACGACACCGTCGATCAGCTCGCCAGGTTTGCTTGTACGAATCGGCTCGCCGTTGATATCGCAGGGCCAGACTTCTTGCAGTTCGATCTTGTACTTGAACTTGAAACGGGCTTTGATGGCCTCAATAATGTCCTTGTGTGCGGCTGAGGAGGTAATGAGAACTATATCGCAAGTCAGTGTGGTTTTCCGCGTAGTCTGCTCGCCTGGTACCTACAGTTAGTGATTGTAAGATCCTTGGCTGGGCAATAGAGCTCGACAATGACTGCGTTAGTGCTCTGATATGGGGAGATACTGCGCATTATGAGTATCCAAAGGAGTGGTTGAAGTGGTGTACGGAAGTAGTAGAAGATGAGTAGTGGAAGGAGTCCGAGTTTAGGTTGAGACAGCTCGCTGACTCCTGAACAGATGTTATGACTTCCAATCTAGCAAGTGGGGGTCATATCTGAGGAGGAAAAGGGAAAGACAGCGCATGGGCACGAATCTCCTGGAAGTGAATCCCTCTCGTGGCTTGGTCAGTGGATCGTAAAGAAATATCGAACAGGTACTGTCTCCTTCGAAAGTGTTTCTGGAAATACAAAGATCAATTGGCATCTATAATTTCGTGTCTGCATCGTCTCCTGACTATTCTTTGGGCCACGCGTTATCAAAAGGCCAACGTTGAGCTTGAAGTTAGCTAGCTTTAGAGCTTTGAAGCTTTTGCTCTTTCTCTTTTCCCAAGCTACGACACAACCTCATCTCACCATGCGTCTGTATCACAAAATATCAACGCTACTGAAGTTCAACGCTTGGAAAGCACTGGGCAAGTTGTGAGTGACGCACTCTCTAGATCCTATTACCACGGTCTCAAGCGACTCATTACTGCCAATCGCTAATTGGCATTGATAGCACGGACTTTCTTATTTGATTGCTGAGCCTCTGTTCTGTATATCTTGTTTTGGTGATGCGCGTGCACTAATTAACGTCGTCCACCACAATACCTAGGTAGCGTGGTCGGGACCCCTGATGTGCGGATCTACCACCGGCTGTACGAAGATCTTTGGTCAGCGCTATGAGATCGGCTGAGCAATAGCCCCGATTGGCTCGAATTACCTCTGCTTGCGATTGGATCCGTTTCGGCCTGGCAGGTCTGACTCAGCCGCACCGTGTTCAGATGCACGAACACGTCTTCCGTCCTAACGGAGAAGTTACAAGCAAATGGCTTAGGCTATATTCAGAGTCGCTTCCAATGGTTGTAAATGAGTCACTATGATGAACGTACGTATGGTGGGGCCGGTTGAAGAAGCCCAGACTGACTAGGCATCCATACCTAGGAAGTACGATCACATATATATCGAAAGTAGTGATCTTTGCAATTTGAATAGTCCAAATTTAAGAACAACACCGCATCATGACTCATAAAACCCCTGAATTCGATCAGCTCGTGCTGGAGAAAATTAAAGAATTCAACGTGCCAGGTCTTTCGCTTGCCGTTGTGCAGGGCGATGATATCTACTCAAAGGTACGTTAGGTAAGAGCTAGCGAACCTTAAGTACTCATTCTTTCTAGGCATATGGTTATTCGAAACTACCCGACGTCGAGACAAATACAGATACCCTCTTCGACCTGGCAAGCACGTCCAAGAGTACCACTGCAGGAGCCGTCGCATTTCTCGTAGACGATGAGAAGTACCCAGACATACAATGGACAACACCTGTTTCGAAGATCCTTCCAGATGATTTCATCCTTCCTGACCCATATCTTACAGAGCAGGTTACTATTGAAGACATACTAAGTCATCGTAGTGGCATTGCTACCCATGACGAATCATACTTTAGTGCCCGTGCGAAGAATCCAGACAATCCAAAGTCTTTGACCCGCAACCTGCGCAACCTTGAATTCGTCAAGCCCCTTCGCACCGAGCATGTATACTGTAACATCATGTTCAGCATCGCTGTGCATCTTGTTGAGACTGTCAGTGGCATGTCCTATACCGACTTTATAAGGACGAAGCTCTGGAAACCCCTCGGCATGACCAATACATTTCATGACGTCCCCGACATCGAAGCCAACAGCGACAAAGATCGCAGAACAACGTCATACCACTGGCACAGCGGATCTCAATCCTACGCTACACTGCCTCATTATCCTCCAGCCCCAGAAGGGCATGGCGCAGGCTGTATCTTCAGCAGTGCAGGCGACTACGCGAAATGGATCCGCGCTCTCATCAAACGCGATCCAATTCTTTCCGAAGCGAGCCACAAGGCACTCGCCACCCCTCGAAGTTTCGACCTCCTAGGTGACGAGAAATGGTCTATACCCTTCAAAAGTGAAGAACTTTACACCTTAGGCCTAAGCCTTACCAGCTATCGCGGACACAAATTGATCGGGCATTACGGCTCAGTACCTGGGTTTAAGGCCATGGTTTGCTTCATGCCCAAGTTCGATTGGGGACTTGTAATTCTCGGAAACTCGGATAGCGCAGCCTATGTCAATGACATTCTGAAGTTTACGCTACTAGACGAGGTTATCGGCGTACAGAAGGAGGATCGCATCGACTGGGGTACATTCTTCAGGGTCTTCCAATCTATGGATGATGCGGAAGAGGCGGAGAAACCTGAGTGGACGAAGGTCGATAGTGTAGAGCCGCTCGGTATTGTTGTGGAGAACATAGCTGGTAGCTATCACAACGTTGGGTACAAAGGGTTGGTGCTTGAGGTGAAGGATGGGAAGCTAGTAGCGGATTGCAGCGATCGATGCTTTCCTTACATGCTGAAATTCGAGCATCTAACGGGTAACATGTTTGCTGTAGAGATGCATGGTATCTGGGAAGGCAAACTGTACAGTACAATCCGAGGCGAGATCAGAACAGAGAACGGGCAGGTAAGAGCAGTGGGTGTCGAGCTAGAACCGGACGTCAAAGGCGGCCTCATCTGGTTCGATCGGGTGTAGCATGGAATCACTACTTATTGCGTACGTTTCGAAAGTATTAAAATGCAGTGCCGCAGTGGAGGATGTGTAAGAGTGAAAGAGGCGGAGCCGACTCCTGGCGCTAAAGCCTCGCACTAGCCAGGTGGAGCAAGCGCTTGAGACCCCCGCCCATATCGTGAGATGGCTGGCCAACCAAGCGTTTCCCTCAGCGGCAATTCATCAATCGTTTAGTCAAATATGAGGGTATAAACATTGCCAAAGTCTGATCCGCACTCGCTGTGAGTTCATCGCGCAACCATTTCGCAGACTCAATCTGCTGACTTGTTTGTGTCAATAGCCCAACGCGTCAATACCGACGGCGCGCCACCATCAAGATGCTAGCAGACGGTAAGATCGACTCGCTAGATACGCATCTGGAGCAGTTCAAGCTCAATGATCAGAACAGACAAATCGATCTAACAGTAAGTCGATACCGACATGTTACCAACTCGCATCCGCTGACCTACCTAGAATCTCTTAAGAGAATACGGTCAGCTGCTTGACGAGTACAAAGACTTAAAGAAGGCATATGAAGAGAGAGGCAGAAGTAATGTCGTAAAGCCAGCAGCTGCAGGTGCCTCTACCGTGACTGCAGCAATAAAGCCTCAAAATCCTTATGTCTTGGTGTTGATAGACGGTAACAACTACATCGTAAGTGTTAGCAGAGCTTCGTAATATTCACACTGACCGACTCTAGTTCAACGATGAATTCGTTCGCGAAAAGGAAGAAGGCGGAATGCGCGCCGCTCGTATGCTCAACGAAGCTATAGAGAAGTACCTACAGCAAAGCGTTCCACAAGCCCGTTCCGCCCGCATTCATGTCAAGATCTACGCGGACTTGACAAATCTATCTAAGCAGCTTGCAAGATCTAAAGTTATCGGTTTGGAAAAGCGATCGCTATCTCCATTCTCTGCCGCGTTCACTCGGGCCATCAGCCTCTTCGACTTCATTGACGCTCTAGACGAAGAAGGCACTAAATTCAAGATTAGAGAACAGTTTAAAATTGCTACCGAGGATACAGCTTGCAGACACATCTTGTACGCTGCTTGTCATGATCCGGCGTATCTAGCTCAATTGTCGCCCTTCAGCGGCATACGGGACAAGATTACCCTTGTCCAAGGCGCTGGATGGAACTCAAAATTCCACGAGTTTGGCCTGGATGTCACCCAGTTTCCAACCATCTTCAGATGGTCCGAACCTTCCGCTGCTACACCAGCCAGCAAAGGCGCGTCAGCTACAGTACCTAAGCAAAAGGCAGTAGTAAGACCAATACTTAAGCCTGTGTCTCCAACTCCTCGCAAAGAATCATGGAGGCGAGATGGCTCGTTTAGTGTCTCAGACTCCGCATTCGGCGATCTATCGCCTACAGAAACCAATGGATTCGATGAACAAGACAGCGTTGGGTGGGAAGGACGATCCGCAAACACTCAAAACGTCAAGAACGGCTCCACCTCAAACCCACAAAAGGACTCTCAGCTCTGCAAGTACTTCCGAAAAGGCTTTTGTAGCTTTGGCGAAAAATGCCGCAACCAGCATGTCCCAAAAGGTCTCGACGGCGCAAACGGCTCTACCTCATCCCCATGTAAGGCTCCGGCTGCCACATCACAGGCATCCCCACAACTCACAGACCGTGGCAACATCTCCGCCATCCTGCCACGAGCGCTAAGACCACACGGCTTCATCCCCCTGAATATATCCCACCAACGCATAGACGCATACCGTCCCTCACCCTCCGCATCAGCCTGGAAGATCTACAACGCACGTTTCGCAAAAGCCAAACCATGCAACACCTTTCACCTGCAGGGAAAATGCACTAATCGTCCCTGTCTTTTTGACCACAACCCACTGGAGCCTGAAGCTAAGCAGGTGCTGGAGTATGTCTTGAGTTGTAATCCTTGTCCAAGGAAGGGGGCGTGTAGGAAGAAGGATTGCTTTTATGGCCATCTTTGTCAGAAGGATGGGTGTATGGGGCAGAGTGGTGGTGGTGGCGGTGGGGGACCGAAGGCGTGTCGGTTTAAGGCTGATTTGCATTATAAGGCGGAGGAGTGTAAGCTAGAGAGTTTGGTGCCGGCGATGGAGGATGAAGTGGCTGTGAAAGAAGTGGAGATTGGTGGGATGCAGTTGATTGATGGGGAAGATTTTATGTGGTAATATTACCGGAAGTTGCGTGAACGGATGCGTCCATAATAACTTTGTCGTTCAGCAACCTCGACGCATTGCTATCAACCCTGTCAATCCATCTTAGCTAGGAATGTCCACGGTCACTGGCCATGAAACAAGGTTTCTGCTAAAACAACGTAGATCCTGTAGAGATGTTATCTATATGATCCAAGACCACCACTGGACTCGCTGAGTAGCTCACAAAGTCGTTCTAGAATGATCGAATATGCATATGAATTATGTCGATAATGACCTCATGTAAATGCCCTTCCTAATTGAACGCCACCGCTAAAGCGCCATACATGCATAAATAACAAAGACAGAAGGGGTATAAAACAACCTGAAGAGATGCCCCAAATACGACAACATAACTACAACAATCCGCATACCCAGCTAATACTTTCTTCCTCTCCGCCTCGGCAGCCCAGACTCCATGCCCACAGTTGCCGGTACGCTCGCGGTAGCGGGTATAACGACCTTGGGAGCAGGAAGTCCCTTCTTGGGCGTAGGAATGCTGATACCGGAACGATTTACATTCTCCTTGTCTCCAGCTTTCGCGGAAGATGGCGTTTGCGGTAGTACGACTTTCTTTGGTGCGGCGAGACGACTTTTCCGTTGAGCTCCTGGCTGTATACCCACAGGTGTCACGTCGAGAGAGGGGAGTTTGGTATCGGATGTGCTGGAAGACAGACTGCTGTCGATGCCCGTAGAGGTTGAAGACGCAACGGGCATCTTCTTGACTTTAGTCGACTTAGCTTTAGGTGCTTGCTTGTCCGATGCTTCTTTTTCTTCTTGTACAGCCTCCGGGAGGAGATCTGAAGGCGCGAGCAGACCCTTGCCAGGCGTACCATTTGTTGTTCCTAGACCGCGTACTCTTCGTACCTTGGGTGTGGACGCCTTGCTGATCTTCTCCTTCTTCTTCTTTGGCTCAGGAGCATCTGACATTCCCAGTTCGTCTGGAGTGGATAATGACTCTGCTTCAGCTAGGGCATTTGCGACAGTGTCTGGGTTCTCCTGGTAGTACGCCAACGTCTCGTCCCAGCGTACATTCTTGCCGATGATGGGCTCCTTCTCCGCATCGTCAATAGGGGGCAGATTATACGAATCCATTGCAAGCTTCATCAACCGGACGGTGACGCAGAAAGCGCCTTGCTTGTTCTTGCGTGTGTTGTTTCGTGTCATGTCAGCCAGTACTTTCGCGTCGTCCTTCTTGAGTACGACTACTTCGTTACCGTCGGCACGGCGGATGTTGATCTTGGGCGGTCCTGGAGCGGGTAGTCGTGAGATCTTCTTCCGTGAAGAGCGTCTAGCCGCTTGTGCACTCTTCTCCTCTGCAGTTTCTGTCTCCTCTGCATCTGGAATAGGCGATTGAAGAGTCTCAGCGGGTTTGTTTAGTGTTGGAATCTGCGATAGATCCAGCGTCAATTCAGTGTGCTGCTTAGAAGGCGAGTTCGGGTCCTTTTCTTCGAGCACCTTGCGGGGCGAGGCCAAGGCGTGGCGGACCACATCTGAGTCTCTCCGATTCTGTAACGACTCTCTCTTGTGTGTGATAACGGCAGCCTTCTCAGCTTTGCTTGCGGCAGCACGGTTGAGGAAGTCCTTGAGGATGGCCGTATCATCGTCGATAGCAACCGTCATGGTAACATCGTCGGGTCCAGACTCAGGGCGGGGCGGCGGCGGAGGGGAGTGCAGTCGACGCGGAGCAGGCGATTGCGGTTTGGTTGGTGTGAATGAAAACGTCAATCCATCAGCAATGTCTGTAGATGCGACAGGTGCGTCGGCCATGTCAACCTCGGAAGGAGCCGCATCTTTCTTGGGGCTGGGGGCATGCTCTTCAACGGCTGCTTGGTACTCTCGTTGTATGTTCAGCTGTAGAGAGGCTTCCGTAAAATCGTCTTCATGGGCGCTTGCTTCAGGAGAGCTAGACACGTCTTCCATTGTGTTGCCGTCGTCCTGAATTCCACCTGCCAATGTGCCTAAGACCACTTCAGATAACTCAGCATCCTCGTCCTCATTCAGTTCTTCGTCAAGCACTGGTGTTGGTGAAGTGGCAGCATCATCTAATGGTAAAGCTGGATATTGAAGCTCTGTCGCAGCATCTGGTACCCCTGACGTTAGCTCCACCTCTTCAGGCGCTGTCTCGTTGCTTTTGCCGCTGACCACCTCTTGAGTCGGGGTTACAACTTCCTCTTCGATTCCCCTCGTGGAAATCTCCTCGGCATTGGTCTCCTCTACGACCTTACTCGTTTCTTCAGTGAGTACAGTTTCCGTTTCCACTTCTGGGCTGTCGCTCAGGGGTAGCTCTGGGTATTCGACCTTCTCCGGCGATGCGTTTGAGGTAGTCGACGTCTGCTTGAGTGGCGAACGGAACAGCTTCGCGATCGTCGCGTCTTCGGCAAATTCAGGGTCTTGTTCGTCTCCTACACTCTCATGATCAGGGGCTCCGGCCGTCGACGCATCCGCTGCAAACGTGAAAGTCGATCCGTCGTCTTCTACAGGCTCCATGTGTTCATCTCCATCTGCGATTGTCTCAAAGCTGTCCTCGCCTTCCATGTTGTGAGTATCATCTTCTTCCTCTTCGCTGTGTGCTTCGTCGTTTGCGCTGATTACGGAGTCTCCAATCTGGGTCGCTCTTTTCCCTGCGATCAGTCAGTGAATGCTACCGTAGTACCCTTTGTGGCCGTACTTGGCAAAACGCTCTTCCTCCGGTCCCAGCGCGTCGCCTTGAACGCGCGCTTCTTGCCAAGTCTACTTGTGGACTTCTCCATAGCTTTGGGACTCATGTGTTGCCGCCTCTTCACAGGCCTTGAACGCGCATCTTGTTCCTCCTCATCTTCTGACTCCTGTGGTGTGTCGTCGGCACGCGCCCTGGGATCAAATCTCCGCCAGATCTTCTTCTCCTTTCCTCCACCCACTCTCTTTACTTCCTGTCTTCGCTCCCATGCGCGCGGCACTTTGGAAACCGGGAGAGCACTCGGAGTGAGGAATGCAGCGTCGGTCTCGTTCCATGTGTTGTCGAATGTTTTGGTGGGCGTAGCGCGTTTGCGCGGAGTGAAAACCATGACGTCGGCGGTCAAATAGTACTAGTATAGATATATCAATGGCGCGCAACCATGGGTCCTGTGTCGTGAGGCTCGTTAGTATCGTCGTGAGGGTGTGTCGTCTGTGTTGGCCGTCGGTCGCTAGGAAGGTACCATCATAAACAAAGCCGGACAGGGATCACGATGGGGCAGGCACGCTAAGGAGATTGCCGCGGCGGAAACTTTTGAATCCACCGACTCGTCGACGACGACGCCAAAACACCCACGAGCCCGCACAAGGCCAGCACTCACGTCGCATCCGGATCGCATTAATCTGCCGAAAAGCATCTACAAGATGGTACCGAAGCCTCAGGGAACCGCCGTTCAGTCGGCCACGCACCGACCCCTCCCGCCGCTACCAAAACTCCGCGTCCGACGACCGAACAAGCCAGAGGCAAACCCATGTCTGGGAGCAATGTCATCAGTTTTGGGTATGTCAGGATAGAATTGTGGAATGAGGAGGTTGGGGTGTGATATTGGGCTGTGCCGTAGGGTGTGATGCGGGGCCAAGAGTGTTTGGGAAAACAACCACGAACATAGGCTGACATATGGCTACAGGATGCTGGGCGTCTTCCGGCTACAGTGTACAGGGCTGTGCGCAGCTTGAGCAGAAATTACGGCAGTGTATGGATGCGCCAGTATGTTCACCGCCTCAGCGACCTTTGGACTTCTCTAACTTTTCATCCAGCGAGACCACAACCAGAAGAAGAACAACATCAACTACCACCTCTCGAGAATGTACCCTAAGATCGTCGGCCCCCACAAGCGGGACTAGATCATGCGCCCTTGTCTTTGTATATTATGTATACCCACGAAACAGCATCATGGGGGAGTTAAGTCGTTGGCATCATCGACAGGCGTTATGGTTACGATCGTTGTATATAAACGAATCTAGTAAGAGTGGGCATTTGCATATGGGCCGACGATATCAAAGTGCAACAAGTCTCGACCAGCTCTGTTACGTACAGACATGTCAGATGTAAGGGAGGAATCAGGCCATGAGCGGGCCAGTAGCTGTCCGAGCGAAGACTGCAGGACAGCCCTTCACGCACGACCACGCATGCTTTGTCTGCTGGCTTCATGTTTCAGTACGGTCCATCATTCTAGACCAACTCCCACTCAAGGCCATAGCAACTACCAGTCTTGCAAACCACATCTGCCGAAGCAGGCAGTGCATACTACTCCCCACGTTCACCCACGTGTGAGACTGCCTTTGTATGTTTCATCGCTCTCGCAGGCCGCCTGATAGGCCTGATGCTAAGTCTTCGCTCCTTCACCAATAGCAACCCACAAAATCAGACGCAGCTGCCAAGGGATTACCGCAGTGTTATACCCCGCTCGTCATTGCGCATAATTATGCTGTGCATCGTTGACCGAAACACGCTCACTTGGGCTATATTTACCATCTTTGGCCAACGCCACATGCAGGCTTAGACCCACTCACTCTACACCCCACCAGCACATCTACCAATGCGTCGCTCAGCCCCCCAGCCGACCAGATCCTACGCCAACCTCGTTCCGGCCGCATACTAGACCTTTCCCAACCTCCCAGTGGCTCGTCACGCACACGTCTTGTCCAGGGCGGAAAATCTTAGGTGTGATTGGGCTGATGCGGGAAGAAAGATGAAGGATGTTATGCGAGACCTTTCCTGAAGCTACCCTGCCTTCCCTCATCGTCATCGCTAGAGACCGCTTTCGATTGGATCGCCAGGGACATGGCCCGATCGCATAGCCAGGGAAGCGATGGGAGCTTACCCTGCCGCAACATGTGTTGCCAGGGTGCTGGTTCCCCTCCCACATGCACTCAGCCGCGTAGAGGTGTTGTGAGCTTCTTATAGTCTGCTGTATTGCGTAGCGATCTTCGTTTTTTGCACCTCATACAACGCCAGCGTACGACTCTGTCGGTTGTCATCTTTGTGTATTCGCAAAACTTGGGTTGAGGACGGTGTGTTTACATAATTAGGAGCTGCACTCATGGAAAGACGATGGCGTTTACACTTCTTACCTTCGCATTGTTAGGACCGGCCATGGCATACGCGGCTGCTTTCTCGATACCGGAACCTACACAATATACACCTACCATGGATGGATGGAGTCCAGCTCCTACGGCAGCACCACAGCTTCCTCTTGATCTTTCCAGGCGTCAACAAGGGAGTAATACTTGTGGATATGTCTCTGCTTCTGGCATCTCAGGTAGGTTTATCTTGACTCTAGTCTTCGACTTGTACTGACCGTCCAATAGTGAGCGCAGTAACATGTTCAAATCCCACAGATGTATGCGCAACAAACGACTATTTCGGCATCCACGGCTGCTGTCAGTCTAGTCTGGGTACTTCCTGTACAATAGCCACAGCATGTATTGCCTCGACAGCTATGTCAGCATCCTGCACAAACGACGCCTGCTCCTCCGACGCTGCGATAGCAAAGTGCACTGCGAGCTCAGCACCAGCTTGCTACCAGTGGCAATTCATCTACGATAGGATAGTCCTCACACAGTATGGCTGTGCGGCCAGCGCCTTTACGAGTACCGCGTACCATAGCCTGGGCATGAGCATACCGAGCAGTTCCGCAGCGAGGGAAACCGTTACCGCGACCGTCACCAAGGAATCCATCAGCACGCCGACTTCCTCCAGTTCATCCTCGTCTTCCTCGTCCAGCTCGTCAAAACCCAGCTTAGGCGCCATCGTCGGCGGCACAATCGGCGCATGTCTCTTTGTCTCCTTTATCCTTTTCGTCGTCTTCCTTGCATGGCGCCGTAGGAAAGAAGCAGCAAAGAATAATCCGCGCTCTGCTGGTGCTTTTCATCGGACTAGCCAACAAACCATGGTGGAGTATAATCCCATGGGTTTCCCCTCTCCAGGCTTTTCGTCGTCAGGGTTGCCTTCACCGGGTACTCCGTATGGCGATGATAGCAAGACCTGGCAACAATATCTATCGAGAATGGGCAGGGGCAGGGATCAAGTGGATATCGTGGAAGTCGACGGGACATCTAGGGCGGTGGAGGCGCCTACGGCTGAAAAGTGAGCGTCCATTTACTGTTTTATTCTCGTTTGCTTTGTTCATCGACTTGATGGCGGTATATCATTGTATTGCATTCCGGACCTCGGTCTTGGAAGATGTTTTACTTGTTCTTGTTTGTATTACAGCACGGTGTTGATAGGATTGATACCAGATTCTTGGGATATGCAGACACGATGAGACAGTACAGGGCATAGGCCCATTACACTATTGGTATATTCTTAGACTAGCACATACGCGGCAGGACACCATGTCCTTTGCGAATCCTATTTTAGCAGATATGGATCACATATATTTGAAGACGCTACCCCAAAATCGACATTGATGCGAGTGCACTTAGACTTCTGTATGAAGATGACATTTGGTCTGAATAAGTTCATTCGCTTGCATTACTACACTATACACGCTATCAAGACTATCTTCAACTAAACGGCGAGTTAGGAACGTTGCCCTGCCGTGAGACGTCATGTCTACTGGAAGCGCTTCTCAGCGGCCTTCCAGTTGATGACGTTCCAGATGGCCTTGAAGTACTCGGCCTTGCGGTTCTGGTAGTCGAGGCTAGAAATAGTTAGTTAAACATGCTCTTATCAGAATCACATCGTCTGACTTACTAGTAGGCGTGCTCCCAGGCGTCAACACCCAGAATAGGACGGAATTGACCGACGACGGGGTCCTGGTTGGCATACGTCCTGATCTGGATAGCTCCAGTCTGCGTGTCCTGGACCAACCACGCCCAGCCGCTGCCCTGGACACCCGCAAGCGCAGTGTTGAACTTCTCCTTGAAGGCATCGAGGCTGCCGTAGCTGTTGTTGATGGCAGCAGATAGCGCGCCAGAAGGAGGCTCACCACCACCCTGGTTGGTAGGCGCGAGGTTCTCCCAGAAGAGGCTGTGGTTGATGTGACCGCCGCCGTGGAAGTTGATCAACGGCTGCAGCGCAATCTGTGCCTTGATGTCTTCCTTTTGCTTGGCCTCGGCGATTTGCTCGCTGAAGTTGTTAAACGAGGTTACGTAGGTGTTGTGGTGGTTCTTGTGGTGCAGTTCCATGATCTTGCCGGAGATGGAGGGCTCGAGCGCGCCATAGTCGTCTGTCTTGTATTAGTATGCGATGCGTGTTTTTTCAGATGATAGGACGTACATGGGAGATCGGGCAGGGTGGCCTTGCCACGAACGAATGTGGTGCCAGCGAGACCAGCACGGGAGGTGACGGGAGCGGCGGCCCTCGCAGCGGAGCGCAGGGCAGATGTGCGGAGGAGAGTGGTGTTCATGATGGCTTCAATTGATGTTTTGGATTCAATTGAGTGTTGGGTGTGTTATGGTGGTTAGAAGCTGGTGGAACTCTGGCTGGGGAAGCTCGGGATTTATTATGGTCTCGCATTTCGTCATACCAACATGCCGACCGCCGAGCTTGGAGCTTCTACATAGCACAACCTCCACTCCTCACGGAAAGACGCCCCTCGGCCAATGAAAACGCCCTGATGCCGCGTTACGTTCGCATGATGTATGCTGAAGTCTCGCGAACAAACGCGCATCTTCATGTGAGAATGTCCAGAGAGAAGAGATGGCTTTCGCGACATGTTAACTCCCCGCGATAGCCCCGCGCGGCGTTTTCAGGAAGAACTAGTTACTCAAGACGTGGGTGGCAGCCGTGCAATTTTGATAATCGCGTGCCGGAAAAAAGAGGCGCTTGATTCAAGTATCAGACATCTCACCCCATGTGAGGTGATTGAGGTTTGCCCTGCATTTAGGACATAGCCTCTACCAACGCGCTCCACCTAGGCTTCCTTCTTACAACTTACTTTAGCTACCCCGCCAACGTCATCATGGCGCCCGTTAATGTTGTTCACTTGCCCAACGGCCAAAACCTTACAGTCACGCCTGTCTTTGGAGGCCTCTTCTTCAAGTCGAGCGATGTCCACACGCATTCGCCATTTCCGCCTGGCTGGACAGTTGTGCTCAACTCCGAGGATGAATTGGCCACGGACGAGCAAGAGCAGCAGCAGCAGGATGAGGAGGAGCTGTTCCCACCACGTCGCATACATCGCTTCAAGAAACCCACCTTGAATGGAGACCACCTCTACATCTCGTCCATATCGAATCCCAGTAGCAGCGAGTTTAAGCCGGCTGCGTCGCCAACCCGCCAGATCGCCATGATGCTGTGGGCGACGCTGTACTGGTACTTTCACCAGCCCGAACCGACACTGCAGGTCACAAACACGCGTTCCAAGAACACCGCCGATGCTGGCAAGCCCAAGGGCGAATGGCGCATAAACATCAACAGGGAGGGTGTTTTCAAGGGCAAGGTCGTGCTGCCCAAGCTGGAGCGCATGGGTCTCATCGCCAGCGAAGATTCGACTGTCGGATGCGCACAAGAAGAGTCTTCTCCTGAAGGCTGGACACACATGTTCGTCAGTCGAAGGACGTTCTGGCAGCTTGACCCGAGAATATACTTGTTCACTCTATCGCCATTAGCCAACACCAACTCACCCTTCCCGTCAGGCTCACCGTATCCCTCGAGACCGTCGTCCCCAGCGGGTGGATCTGATGCGAAGAAAGAACAACAGCTTGATCAGGTATCACCAGGTCTGTGGTCACCAACGGCGCCAGGTCCCTTCCACTCGAGCTCGCACCTCCCAACGTACTATCCACCCCCTCCCGCGCAATATGTTTTTACGAACAACACGCGACACCCCATACGCCCGAAACCACCTCGACAGGGAGAGATACTGTACACAAGATACATACCCAGCGTTGGACAGTACCTGTCTTTCCGGGTGGCTTCCATCTCTTCGAAAGCGCTTCGACACCAGGGCCCAGTCTCCAGTCCAAATCGCAACAGCCAGATTGCAGCTTCTGACTCCGTCGCTCCCAACATGAACTCGATGAACGCGGGAATGTCTGACTCTGAATATCTACACAAATGGATGAACGATCCCCGTGTATCGCATTTTTGGGGCGAGGCAGGTCCACAGTCCCATCAAGAGGAATTTCTCAAGAACGGCCTACGATCAAAGAACTCGTTCCCAGTCATGGGATGTTGGGATGGGAAGCCATTTGGCTACTTTGAGATATACTGGGTCAAGGAAGACAATCTCGGAAAGTACTTACCCATTGTTAGCGACTACGACCGAGGTTTCCACTGCTTGGTGGGTGAGCAGGAGTTTAGGGGCGCACACAGGGTCAAGATCTGGCTGAGCGCATTAGTGCACTATTGTTGGCTCGCGGATAATCGGACAGAGAGGGTCATGTTGGAGCCGAGGGTCGATAACGAAAAGTAAGTCTTGTACCAGCACTTGACGGATGATGCTAACAGTTCAGACTTGCAAACTACCTTCAAGAAGCTGGGTTCTACAAAGAGCGCGAAATTAGCCTTCCGCACAAGCAGAGTAACTTGTTCAAGATCAACCGGGACGTGTGGAAGGGTCCGGCGCTGTGAGTCCGCGGAGACGGCAATAATTGTGGAGTCGCAGTTGGGCAGAGCCGCATGAACGGGTTACGGCTCTTGGTGGATATGGTTACGTGGAGTAGCGCAGAGTAAGCGCATCATGAGATACCAAGGTCTAGACTTCTATTCATGTTGAACCTGCCACCTACGTGGGGGAGGTCGTAGTCATTCTTCTGAGTGTATCCCGCCGGTCTCCTCGACCGGAGAAATACCCACCGAACGTTGGAGCGTGTATGAATGTGAAGCAATTCGGAGGTTCCTCGTAGCAAGTCCCTCGTTACGAGTACCTACAATTTGGTTGCCCAGAACCCCAACAACGCCGCGGGAAAATTTCTGCTACCCCAAATCGCTATTTTATCGTCGATCGGTGTCTATCTCCCCCTCCGACATCACCCTAGAAATCGACCATTGACGTGCGTTTCCAAAGGTGCGATAGTACCTAAATGTGGGGTTTAGCGAGCTCCAAAACTTTTTGACTACACGTGAGGACGTCATTGGTCTTTGGGTAGAAAAAGCGCGCCACAACGCTGTGAATCATCTCACGAATTGACTTCACGATACCCCAATATCCTTCCATACAATTGTTCTTGTCGTGATATCACACGTATTGTGGTTACGGCAAAGTTGAAAAATTACTCTGATACCAGATTCGGAAGACTATCGGACTAACCCACAAACGAACCGCCAAACGGTTACTCATCCACCACATCACCCCTCAAAACACCACACAGTCATGGCTACCAACAATAGCTCCCTGGACATTCAGTCCCGCATATCAGACATGAAGACCAAATCTGGCGCCACCATATTCGATGCGTACCAGACTTCCCTTACAGGCCGGTACTGTTCGGCAGAGATGTCGCAACTGTTCTCGCAGCGCAGCCGACACTCGATATGGCGCAAGCTGTGGCTGTTCCTCGCAGAGGCAGAGAAGGAGCTAGGAATTGAGAACATCAGTGATGAGGCGCTCACCCAGATGAGGGAGCACCTAACCGTTACGGATGATGATTTCGGAGTTGCCAAGGTCGAGGAGAAGAAGAGGAGACACGATGTTATGGCGCATGTACACGCCTTTGGACAAGTTGCTCCTGCCGCAGCAGGTATCATCCATTACGGAGTAGGTCATCACGTGAAGTGGTCAAAAAGCTCAAGAAATGGTACTAATTCCCACAGGCAACGAGCTGCTATGTAACGGATAATGCCGAACTCATCCTTATGCGCGATGGTCTGGATCTCCTCATCCCCAAGCTCGCCAAAGTCATCTCCAACCTCTCCGCCTTTGCCCTGAAATGGAAAACCGAGCCTACTCTTGCTTACACCCATCTCCAGCCCGCTCAGCTCATCACCGTCGGTAAGCGAGCGGCGCAATGGGCGCAAGACCTCCTTTTCGATCTTGAGGCCATAGAGCTCGTCCGCGAGACCCTACAGTTCCGTGGTGCCCAAGGAACGACCGGCACACAAGCCTCCTTCCTCGAGATCTTCAACGGCGACAGCAAAAAGTGCGACCAGCTCAACGAGCTGCTCTGCAAAAAGGCCGGATTCCCCTCCTGCTACGCCATTTCCACACAGACCTACACTCGCAAGGTCGACCTCATCATCGCAAACGCCATCTGCGGTCTCGGTGCCTCGGCACAAAAGATCACAGGAGACATCCGCCACCTAGCCGCGTGGAAGGAACTCGAAGAGCCGTTTGAGAAGGACCAGATCGGCTCTTCCGCCATGGCGTACAAGCGCAACCCCATGCGCTCAGAACGCATTTACGCGCTCAGCCGTGAGCTCATGTCCAAGCCAGCCTCGTTCGCAAACACGCTCTCAGACCAATGGATGGAGCGTTCCCTCGACGACTCGGCGATCCGCCGCATGGACATCCCCGAGATGTTCCTCCTTGCCGACGCCATCTTGCTGTCTCTCGACAACGTAACATCCGGTCTGGTCGTCTACCCCAAGCGCGTCGACGCACGCGTGCAAGAGGAATTGCCCTTCATGATCACAGAGTCCATCATCATGCGTCTCGTTGCCAAGGGCGAATCGCGCCAGGAAGCACACGAGCAGATTCGCGTTCTCTCCCACCAGGCTGGTGCGCAGGTTAAGAACGAGGGCAAATCAAACGATTTGGTTGATCGCATCAGGAACACAGAGTTCTTCAAGCCTATCTGGGGTGAGCTCGATACTATGCTTGACAGCAAGTTGTACACGGGACGGAGTGAGGAGATTGTGGAGAAGTTCTGTGGAAAGGGGGGTGTGCTTGAAGGCAAGCTGAAGAAATACCAGGATTACATCGAGGGTGCCAAGGTCAGTGAGCTGAATGTTTAGAGGGTTGTATATCGAAAAAAGGGTCCGAGAGAAGAAGAAGGAAGACTCTAGGCGTTCATTGGGAGTCAAGATAAATGAACGGAGTTAGGAGAAAAGTAATCAACTTACGAGTATCTGGTCAAAAGTCCTACTCAATTCTTCGACAAGGCAATGAAAGTCGTGTATCATTCATCATCATCATCCCATATGTATGTGCCCTCGAAATTACTAAAAATATGCTAATTCTATGCCCAAAACGCTGATTTGCCACGCAAATACTGCTAAAATGCCCCCTTTCCAAGAAGGAAACAGAACGCTTTACGATGCCGTGCGGAACGAGATGCCAGACGCCAACAGAATACGCTACAACGCTAATGTCTAATTCCTTGCATCCACCGATCAATCTGATCTCGCTGTCTGGGATCCATAGGCGGGCCCATCATGCCCCCCTGCATCATACCCATGTTCATGCCATTCATGCCCATGGGCATCTGCATGCCGCCCATTTGCATGCCATTCATCTGCATTGGCATCTGCATGCCCATGCCGTTCATTTGCATGGGCATACCCATCATGGGGTTTTGTTGCATCATGCCGGGCTGCTGCATGCCCATTTGCATACCCATCGGTCCCATCTGGCCCATCATGGGTTGTTGCATACCATTCATCTGCATAGGCATCTGCATACCCATCATACCTTGCTGAGGCATGGTACTCATTCTCTGCTGCCCGTTCATCATCATGGGGTTCTGGGCGTTCTTGTAGGCTTGAATCTTCTGGCCGAGGGGGATGTCATCGTCGTCCTTTTGGTTATTGCCCACGCCCTTGAGCAGGGGGTCCATAGAGCCATAGCTGCTGGCGCGCATGGTGGCTGTGAGACGTTGTTGTTTCTTACGCTCTTGATCGAGGACATTTTGGTGCAAAAGACTTCCTTGGGGGAGGTGAGAGACGAGCTGCTCATTTGAGACCTTGCGAGCTTGGTTGTGAGGGTCGATGGGGTTGGCGGAGAGGATGTCTGCGAGACTGTTGGTGGAAGCGAGACCGGGACGGTGGGCGCCAGGTTGCGGGGCCTGTTCTCCTCGGGCGGCAGCTTCGGCTTGGAGACGAGCACGGCGTTGGCCAAGTGTCTCTTCCTCTTCCTCTTCCTCAGCGGGAACAGGTGCAGCAGGTGCATCTTTGGACTGTTCTTGGCCAGTGGCCTCTGGTGCACCAAACTTGCTCATCATCTCAGAGGCAAAGTCATCACTTACTGTGCTCTTACGCACGTCACCGAGCGCTGTCTCACGTTCTTTCTTTTCCTTGATACGACGCATACGATCAGCCAGGGACTCGCCCGGCTCCTCATCCGAGTCTGGGTCGGGGGTTGTGATTTGGGGGATGTTGATCTGGCTGGTAGACGCTCCTAGGTATTGAGTACGACGCTGGTTGTGGTCGGCACCAAGTAACCTGTTACGGCGACTGCTAAGGGGCTCGCGATCCTCCAACTCTCGCTGCTCGATAAGACCCATGCTCTTTTGTCGCATTTGTGGAGGCGCAGTCTGCTTGTAGAGAACGCCAAGCGGCACATCATCGTCAGAATCCTCCTCCGCGGGTGCCTCCCAAGCCAGATTGACTCTCTTGCGGATTCGCCGTTGCTTTTCCGCCTCAGCCACGTCGTTCATCTGCAGCAGAGTTTGGCGACCATCAATCAGCCCCTGCTCCATCAATGTCACGTAGTTCATCTTCCTAGTCTGTTGTTTTGCTTTGCGTATCTGGAGCTCAGCGAGGAGCGTGGTCGGCGCGCCGTACTCCGGTTCTGGCTCGCCCTCCTCTTCACTCGATTCTTCTTCTTCATAGGCGTCCTCCGGATGTCCTTCCTCGAATGAGGGCCGCGAGGCATCGGGATCATGCCCGGCCGGTCCTCGTGCATCCTCGTCACGCTCCTCCAACTGATCGCCGAGGCTCATCCGACTCTCGCTTGCCTTCACAAGCAGCAGGTTCATATCAGCTGAGCTATTCCGCTTCTTCAGCTTCTTTAGACGTTCGCCTTTTGCATTGTGGTCAGTATCCAGGATATTGAATGAGCTCCGTCTTTGCGTCTGTTGCAGTGTTGGTGGAACTTCAGGTAATTTCGAACTCTTCCGTTTGTGCTCTGGCCCGTACACTTCATTGCCTACATGTCCAGCGAACGGATGGTCGGTAAAGGCAGATACTGGAGCATTAGCAGAAGCATCCAGGATGCTTTCAAGCGTGTCTTCTGCAGACTCTCCCTTGACGGCAAACTCCTGGGCGGGGGCAGCTCGATTATCAAAGTAAGCGCTTGCTCGTAATTGTGGGGGGAGAGCCATGAGACTTTGTCGACTCTTCTTGTTGGGCTTCGCGTCCATGAGATTGTCACCGAGCAGCGGCATTGACTTTCTATGCTCTGTCTGCATTGTTTCCAACAGCTGTGTCCGGCGTTTAGCTTGCTGGTTCATGTTAGGCAATTGCGATAGACGCTTTGGCAGGTTGAGCATCTTTGGCACAGGGGCGGGATAGAAAACCATGCCGTCGTCTGGTGGCGGCGCGCCTATCGAGTGAACGCTCGGGTTCTGTCTATGCATAAAAGACTGGGGGTTTGACGAATGCCGGCTGTGGGCATAACTACTCTGCCGACTGTGATGCGACGGCTCTGGCTCCTCCTCGACAGTGTCTGGACAGTGGACGCCGTCAAAGTCCTGCCATAGTGTACGTGCTTGGTGTGTGGTATCGGTCGAGGCTGCTGTCGGGGGCCGGTCTGGGAGATCGCGGTGGTCTGCATACTGGTAATGTGTGTCCTCGTGTGTGAGCTCGTCGGGGTCAGGTCGCCCCAACTGGATACTATTGCGCAGCTCTTCTGGCAAACCATTCGCAACCTCATCGAATATGCGTGTAAAGGACGAGACCTTTCGCTGTGGGGGAGAAGCAGAGGAGCCTTCGTCACCTTGTTCATTTTGGTGTTGGTATGATTCCTCCTCGACCTCCTCGGGGTGTACGATCTGCCCAAGACGCGAAGCCTTTGATTCCGAGCGTTGGCGCTGGACTGAATTCGAGGGTTTCGGCCAGGGTCCCGTGCCGGAGCGCAGCGAACCGGCGGGCGAGGTTATGTAACCGCCCGGAGAGTATCCACCCCATCGTGCATTTCCATTGAGGTCTACAATTGAATTGGCGTGCGAGCTGATCGAAACGCCGCGACTGCGGGTACTGGCCTGGCGGGTGGGCTCGTCGGGAGAGTGTATGTCGCGCAATGACGAGCGTCGACTGTCAGTCAGCTTTAGTTCTGAATACGTCTTTCGTATCTCCTCCTGCAGGTCTGAGCCGGCCTCGCTCATGCGTTCGGCATGTTCTTCCAGGCGATTGATGTTGCCGACATACGCCCCTTGTAGCGACTGGAGATCCGGAACCGGATGACGGAGGTCGACGTCAGCCTTGGGGGAGGTCATTACTACCGAAGCAAGCAGCAGGAAGTGTGCCGCAGAGGTGAGAGAGTCAACTCAACTGCGGTACGACTACAGTAAAGGAGACTTTTGGCGTGTTTGTTGCACCGAACCGGACATGGGTCGAAGGGTGATCGACCCCGATCCATTCCAAGAATAGCACGCAGCACGTTACCACGGTACGGCAGGAGCGACCCAGATCTAACGGTTCTTGGCGCAGTCGCCCAGAGGCAGAATTCCAGAACATTGTTTCCGCTGCACCAAGACATTCACTCCGCCTTCCACGACAACCAGGCGCATTCACGTCTTTCCTGTCTCGAATTCATGCGACACTGATTGCGACACCGATTGCGACACCGATTCTACGACGCGACATCTTGCGCGCCCGCGAACCGCTACTCAGAATCTGCAGCTACTGCCTGCACATAGCTCGTATACGCATCTTTGCCCGTATTCACAACCCCCCCTATCGGCGTCATGGACGAAGGAGGCAAGCGAAAACACAGCTTCAGGCAGCAGCCGAACAAAAGGGCCAAGGCCGAGGATGGCAGTGCACTCAAATCAGGCTTTGGTGCGAAGATGCTGGCCAAGATGGGTTACAAGGGTGAGGGAGGTCTAGGAAAAGAGGGAGGCGGTATCTCGGAGCCTATCCAGGTCGTCAACCGCGGCACCAAGGGCGGTATCGGTATAGTGGCAGAGAAGAGCGAGCAGCAACGGCGGGAGGAGCGTCGCAAGGCCGAAGCAAACGGAGAGAAGTATGTCGACACTTCAGAAGAGGAGCGCGAGGAGAGGAAGAAGAAGAAGGCCAAAGCACGGGGCGAGACGCGAGCATCAGCTCCTCGACCGAAGAAGACTGTTTTCGAGCTCGAAGCAGCTGGCATGCATGTACCGCTTGCACTGCAGTCCATTATCGACGCGACGACCGGCACGTCCACTCCAACTTCAGGCGTGTCCCTCCGCGGCCCTGACATCGTCCCATTCGAGAACTCTCTGCAAGCGCGCGTACGCAGAGACTTGAACAGTTTTTCCGAAGCATTCGAACAACTTCAGGTCGAGTCGCAGGCCATTCCACCCCAAGAGTATGCGCTTCAGAAGGAGCTGGAAGCGCTCGAAAAGCAGATGGACGAGTTGGAGGATCTACAAGCACGCATCGAGTCTCTGCGCACAGGCACGTTTGACGTCGTTTGCGAAGGGCTGAAGAGCCTGCGCGCCGCCTACCCATCGAAGCCGCTACACCGCGAATCGATTGCCGTTATACATCCACACTTCTCCAAAGCTATCGCGTCCTGGGAGCCACTTGAGGATGCGTTGGAGGGCGTGGCCGCGGCTTTCTCAGAAATGGCAAATATCATACAGCCCAGAAGTAGGAGAGTTGCTTCTCAAGCCTACACCCACCCCTCAGAAGCACTGGTTAGCCGCAACTCAGTCGACGAAGAGGACACGATAAAGCGTGGCACTACATCGTCATATGAGTCCATGATGCTCAAATATTGGCTCCCAACAGTGAGCTCCGCTGTAACACAGTGGGATGTCAAGAACCCACAGCCCATGGTGCATTTGGTAGAAGTCTGGAAGCCAGTCTTACCA